ACGTCGCATTAGCGACTAGGCATCCACGTTACTGTTGACAGTCATAACTTCGACGTCGTAGATAATTTCGTCTATCTTGAAAATAGCATCAACACCAACAACAACGTCAGCCTCGGAATTCAACGCTGAATATTTCTTGCCAACAGGTGCTACTTCGGCCTAAGTAGGCAGTTGAGAAGTAAAGTCCTCTCTCGACGAGCAAAAACCAAAGTCTATAAGTCACTCTTCCCGCCTATTCCCGTCCTACTATATSGTGTAGAGGCGTGGATGATGACAACACTTGATGAGTCGACGTTACGAGTTTTCGAGAAAAAAGTTATGCGAGAGATTTGTGTTCCTTTGCGCATTGGCCACGGCAAATATCACATATAAGACGACATTGATATAGTTCAGCGAATTAAAAGACAGCGGCTACGCAGCAGCCGCCGGAGGAAGCAGAGGAAGAGGAAAACCTCCACTCCGTTGGAAAGACCAGGTGGAGAAGGATCTGGCTGCGGTTGGAATCCTTAAGGACAGTCCTACCAATTTAGCAGAGCACATTTTTTTTGAATGAACGGGGTTTTTAATAAGAACGCCATAAGAATTGTTTTAAGCGGTTATATCCACTTGTAATTTTGAAAAAACGAAATTGTTTGGCATATTTTGAATCTATAAATATGTACATATACTTATATTCTAGAATATTGTCTGTAAATTTAAAAGTAATCCGGTAAATAGTTTCAGAGTAATGAGCTCGGAGGTTTGAAAGTAGTCGGAACCGTAACCCAGAGTAGCTAAAACTTTAAATGCCTTTTTCTTGAAACGATGTTTCCAAAGTCGGTGAGGAATATTTCCGAAACGGCTTGACCGATTAACTTGAAGGATCTTCTTAGATACTTTTTGTCAGGTAATGATCGAAGGAATAAAATTTCAAATAAAAATTTCGATTTTTAAGTCACTTTAAAGTGTAAATTTTCGTGCAAAAAAGATTTTTCTTTATGTTGGGATTTTTCTTATTGTTTTCGAACTTACAAGTGGATATAACCCTTTAAATAAAACAAAAACGTTTGGGATACCAACATAATTTTTTATTCCTGTGAAAGTACAACAAATCAGTTATGTTTGGAACTCGATTTCTTTTGCTGACGGTTTTCAAGCATAAATCTGCCGATACTGCTGCATGTCACTTTCGATATTCGTACGAAGTTTATCAATCGTCGCTGGCTTGTTGTCATGGGCCATAGGCTTGATGTAGCCCCACAGGAAATAGTCTATTGGGCCATTTCGTGAGATAACACGTTCACCAAACTTGGTTTTCAATAAATCGATTGTGAAATTCGGTGTGTGGCTTGTGGCGCGTTCTATTGAAGCCATATATTGACCAAGTCCATATAATAAAATTCGGGTCTAAAATATTCGGTTATCATTGAGTGATGGCGATTCCCATTCACAGTAACGTGTCGATCTTGATTATGACGAAAGAAGTACGGCTTAATGACGGCGCCGACCCATAAGCCGCACCAAACAGTATTTTTTCGGTATGCAATGGTGAAGATACGTATGAATTTCTGCCTGACCAAAGGCAAATTTTGCTTATTGACGAAGACATTCAGCCCGAAATGAGCCTCATCGCTGAAGATGATTTTTCGATGAAAATCCGGATCATTTTCTAGTTGCTGCTCAGCCTAATTCACGAACATACGAATATTCTGTTGGTCAAGCTTGAGTTCTTGAGTTAATTTGATTTTGTTAGAATGTAGGCCAAGATCTTTTTGAAAAATTCGCCACAACGACGTCACAGAGATACGACGTGTGAGGGACTGATTTGGGTCTTCCTCAATTTATCCGCCAGCGACAGCAATATTCTCGACATTACGAGCAGTTCTTTGTCTCACTGGCACGGGAACATTTCCTGTGTCTGTGGATTCGAATTATACAGGCASTCCCAAAATTAATATAAGATTTAAATTGACCGCCATTTCCAAATCTCTTCAGAGTTTACGAAGTTAAACTTCGGCTTTCGGTGTGTGTGTTAGAGTTGTCAACGCTTACCCTACAAATGATTTAAATCTTCCGTTAATTTTGGGGACCCCTGTATTTAATTTTATTGTATAAGTTCTACAACTTTAGCTAAAACGGATCTCTTAACCACTGTCTGAACTGATAAAAGCTTATCTGATTGCAAAAGTTCAGATGTAATACCTAAATTCATATCGGTTTTATTTCATATATTTACGTGTCCATACGTTGATAATAAAAATACATACATACGTTAAACTACTTATGTACATATCTAAACAATAATTATAAACTGGCTTCTGATGATTCATACTTGAGAGCAATTTTTTATGGACTCATACATACATACCTAAAAAAACTGTGTAGGTGTGCAAAAGCATACAACATACAAACGTAATTAGCAGTATGTATTCATAAGAGTATGCTCACATATTTACAAAGGTATACATTTGTAATTATGAAAATAAAGCCCAGCCAAAACAGTGCTAATCGAAGCGAAACGAGCGAAATAAAACTAAAACAAATGGAACATCAGCTTCAGCATGTATGCACAAGTATGTATGCATTGCAATAATAAGGTTAAATGTTTAAATATCAAATTCTAACTAAACATTTAGTTTATTGTATAGATACATTGTTCCTAAAAGTGAAACGCAGATTTTAATTATTATCCATATCCCCAAACTTGGTATTTCTACTAAACATAAACGTTTAATACTTCTATTAAACTATGCCTGTAATCGTAGGGGAAATTTCATATAAATTTTTTATAAACTTATAACTTTTATTTGATTTTGTTTGATATGAATTTAGCAAGCATTCGCTATAAAATATATTTATTCTGTACTAAGAGACCATTCCTTGACGATAAATACACATACGTAGGTAAATAAAATTTGTTTGAGAAATACTTAAATCGTGAATTAAGGGCATGAAATTAATAAAACGAATTGCACACTTACAATAAGAAATAAGTTTAAAAAAAAGAAGTGCATATTTTAAAAATACTTATTCTGTTACAATTGACCCAAACTTCTATAAAGGGGCTTAAAAACAATTCATCTATTACATTGCATTAACATTCAAATGTATTATAAACGCATTTTAGTAAAACTTTATTTGTTTGAGAAAACTTCTCGCGTTTATTTCGAGTTAATTTTGCTTATACTCGTATGTGGGTCAATTCGACGACTGTTATAACCAATCTCACTGATCAACATGTCGAGCAGGGTCGATTTAACTACATCGTCTATCAGTCTGTATATACGGGAACTAGTTCCTCAGTATTTGAGATATCAATTTGAATGTGTTTGGCATATAGTTACCATACAAACTCATCTGCCTTTTGTATGCAAAACTTTTTTATTTTACAAGATTTCTTCACAAAATTAGCCAATGATTACTGTCCAACCCTAAAATCTCATATTGTATAGATCAGCCTACTACAGTATGCAACTACCATACAAACTGACCGATCAAAAGGCATGATTCCGATTACTTTGGCGGAGGGGTAAAAAAAACCCGAATTTCCTTATAAATGGGGTATGTGCGGATAGGGGAGCTTCTCCAGAGGAGGAATATCGAAAAATAATATAAAAATAACTTATACTTTTTAAAATATTCACGATTAAAAGTTAAAAAATTTGCACTAATAACACATGGTATTTTTCTATCTTTCACTAAATTTATTCACGTTTTTCATACTGTATATTTAAATATAAACTCTAAACATTGAAATAAGTTCACATTTTAATTTTATTTTGTAATATTTTACCTAAATTTATTAATTTAAAAATCACTTAGCACACTCGTCGTTGCAAAGATTAGATTGTTTACAATTATGAAGAAAACGAACGATTTTTCTTTGTTTGTTTTTTTGTGTGATTCTTTTTTCTACATTAATTATAATAAAAAATACTTTCCAACATTTTTCCATCTACATATGTAAATACATATATGTATAATATTTGATTTATATTTAAGAAACATAAATAACTAAAACTCTATGATAATATTATAAAATTTATATAATATCATAATGACTGAGGTACTTCCGCGTAGTACTCCGTTCTGCGTTAAAAATTAAACAAATATATTGAGTTTTCGTTATAAATTGGTTAAATTAAAATTTTGGTTATAATATCTGTTAGCGATTTCCATTTATTTTTGATAATACGTTGTTTGGTATATTAGGTGGCAATATACATATATAATATTATTAAATAATATTACTATATAATATTACTTATTTTGAGTTTAGTCTTCATAGACAGGTATTCACGTAAAAACACATTGACACATTAACTAAATAAAGAATATATCCATATGCATGGATAGAGGAATTTTTTGGGAATAAAAGAATTTCAGCGAACTTCTTTATTATCACATGGCAGCGCTCCATTTCGTCGTAATTTTGAGCACACAAATGGTGTTCACTACGAGTGTAAAATGTAATTTTTAAAATAAAAATTTCTTAGGTAAAAAAACCTACTAAAAGTGTAAAATGTGAATTTATTAAAAAGTTTATAGTTTAATTTAATTAATTTAAAGAGAAAATTGTGCATAAAGTGTGTTACATTCGAAATTTGCGAATTTTTGAACTTTAGGGTCGAATATCTCGTAAACTAAGCGTTTGCGGTACCTATAACCGTCTATATTTTTTTGATCGGGAGGACTTCCTTTTTCCAACGGTGCCCTCAAAACGCGGCGCGAAGAAATTGGAATTGTGCCGATCAAAATCAAGATAAAAACTTTTTATACTAAAAGAAAAGCAGACTTGAAGGATATTAATGCTTCGGTGCAGCGGAAGTTAACGATTTTATTTGTTTTTATTTACTTGCGGTGCAAGTTAGACGAGCTGTTTATATTTAAACAGATTTTCTATTCTTCAGCTTATAATAACTTTTAATACCGTGATATATGTATATGCATACATACATATGTATACGCATATATGTATATATATATATATTTATACTATTATATATCATTTCATGACTTACCACATTTCTCCTTATCATTGAATAGATCCTCAATAAGTTTCGGGCATTCATTGTCGATTGCATAACAGAACTGCTTGAATTTAATAAATCCGCCTTTAGCGATGATTTCTATTAGTTTTGTAGATAGTTCTTGATATATGTCAGCATCATTTAGTGAATTTAAATTTAATTTCAAATTTTCTTCGCAATTATTTTCACTACTTTGGTCGACACTAGTACCAATGATGCCATCTGTTTCACTAATATTCACAAGTGACGGTGTCACGGAACGATTATCACTTTGTGCGTTGTCGCCTATCACACTAGCACTATGAGAATTATTATTACTCCATTCAGCTGTACTGGTGCAGACTTCCTCACCTAACACACCATCACCGTAACTAGTAACTGTGTTGCTGCTACTGCCGCTGCCGCTGCTAACAGCAGTGCTTAGTTTCCGTTTAATAACAACGGCGCTAGGTAGAGCACTGGACGGAACAGATGCTGCAGAATGTGTTCCCAATAGCAAATCTTCTTCGGATTGCGTTAACACAGTGTTCTTTACAAGGATCGTCAAGAGGTCCGTTTYACACAAGTCGAGCATTATACGGTCCTTATGCCGCAAAAGCAGCGAACGAACTTCCTCTTCTTCCTCCTCCCTGGACATTTTGTAATATACACTATGCGTCAAATCACAAAAATGGTGAAACTCRCACACAGCTGCACAAATCGAACACAAACAAACAATTCACATGTATTTTTGCTTGTATTGCAAGCACTGACGAACTATATATGCATGCATCCATATGTATGATTCGTAGTATTGAATATTTACTTTACGTTGTATTAAAACACAAAGTTTTTTTCTCATTCGGTATTTCTGTTATGCACATTTTTAATAGCATTTTTATTCTTGCATTCTTACACAAATGCCATTAGACAGTGGCAGTATGAATATATAACTTTTTTAATAATTGATAGAGAAATGTATTTTCAATTGAAGTAAGCGCCTAAACAATCACACTTCCAATCTCTAGAAACTTAAACACCACACTGATCCAAACACCAAAATATCTATATCTGAATTACGTTCCAAACCGGCTTCCCTTGGGTTGGCACTGAAACAACAATAGCAATGCTATGCAAAATGTTCGAGCATAAGAAATGGATTGTAATAATAAAGGCACAAATCAACACTAACAACAAGCACAGAAAATCCAAATGTGAAGAGAGGCTAGCAATATGGTGAACCCTAGTTAAGTACATATGTATATCTCTATTCTCTCGGGTATCTATGCCTGCTTGCGTTTGAAATTACATAAACGAATACACATACATTGTATACACTTGCATAGGTATATACATAGATTCATATGTATTTTTGTGCCAGAGTGCATATGAAATGCATGGATCTAACAGCCTTTTGGCTGTGTGCCTACCTGGCTGATTCATTGACAACAGTGGTGAATTTTTTATATACACGTACTTATATGTTTGTAATTGCTAACTGTTGCTTTGACAAATTCACCTCTTTTCTCTAGTGTTGGAAAATGGAATTTTCAAAATTTATTATATTTTCACCATAGGCACTATTGGGCAATTATTTAGATGGAAGAAGTATACCATAATATTGGACAAATATGTAAAATTAACTGAAAACAAATAATTCGGTTGCACCATAGCTTCACAAATACAAAAGATATAATTTCTTCGACGAGATGAGGGCARTGGTAAAGCTAGGTAACCAAGGGCCCTGGGGGAAATTAAAAAATGGAGTCCGATACTTTGTAAACTGATTAGGTTTTATCAAATATAACTATGAAATATACAAATACTTTCAAAATGCTAAGCTAATTAAGCTCTTTTTGGTGCACTGCAGGGTAGGAAATAAAAATATTAAAAATAAACAACATAAATTACAATACTTGGTGTAGGTTTGACTAATATAAGTAAAACGAAATAGAAAAGATTCAAGGGTTTATTATATAGGCCGGGCCAACAACTGACTAAATAACAATTATATTTARATTTTTTTTTAGTTTTCGCAAAAGTATCAATGACCTCGTTAGTATATATTATCTATCTATTTGATGCGATTCTGTAATGGCATTTGTTTTATTATTTTTAATTTGCTAAATGAACTTTCATTTGCTGCAAAAGAGACACGAATTGTAAAGAAATAACATTGCTGTAAAAACTTCCGTTATGTATTTTGTTCATTATTTCTATACATAATTTGTGAACAGCCGTTGAGGTAAAACTAGGTGGTAAATATTATTGTAATTATAACTGAAGTGAAAAAGTAGTTCCTATTATATCTGAATATTTTCTTTGGAGTTCGTCACACTTTTGTAATAAAGTTGCTTCATCAACATTTAATAAAAATGTTGGTGTTTGAAAATCAGTAAATATTTTTTCTCGGTTTGGAAATCAATGATCAGCTGCTAATTTATCAAAATGTTTTTTAACTTTTCTTTGCCTTCTTTTCACGATATTTCGTGTTATACAATTAAATGTAGCCGAAATCTATAGATTTGACACGATTTATTGACTTATTTATATGGAAGCTTTCATCAAGTGCACAGTAGARGGGTTTTGAGAGTTTCGTAAACTGAGGATGATAAAAAACTGTTAAAATGCCACTTTTCTCGAAAAAGCACTCATTCACGCCCTTGATTATACAATTTTCTAAAAAATACGCTTTAGTTCAAGTAAGTTGGTTAAATATTTCGCTCGAAAATTTCACGCTGGATAAAAAAATTTTGTTTCGAGGAAACGAGCCTCTAAGTTTCAGTACCTATACAGTCGCTGTATGAAGTGCAGTGGTTCTGAGGCCTATTTCTTCCAAAATATTCGGAGTAAACCAATGAAACTTCGGGACTATATTTTAGTTTTTCAATTGATTGATTAGAGCAAAATTTTTTTTTCAATTTCCAATTTCCTGAGTGGTAAAATCAAATAAAATTTAACCACCATATTGACCAGTAGAAAACATTTTATTGATATTAGTTTACTTACTCTTGACAAAGCATTAATTTTTTAACCGTTCTCGATGAAAATCTTAAGTCGTATTCACAATAAAACGCATATATCATTATCCGTCAAATTGACAACACTGCCAAACTACAGAAAGAATTTAGGGGAATTACCTAGGCATAACTTTTGAATTTCTCTCAACTAAGTTTTCATGATTAAAGTGGGGTTGCAACCAGTCATATTTATTTTGAAAATGGGAAAAATTTTCAAAAGCTCAGTTCGATCGATATTTCTGGTAGACAAAGGTTTAGACCGTTTTCATTCATATGCAGCGCTTAATTGCATCATATACATATACATATATACTTACTAACGTGATTTATAAGGAGCTGGAAAAACATGCTTTCGACATAAAGTCTGCTATAATAATAAAAATCAACAACATTGAAATCGCCATATTAGAATGCAGGCTAAAAGTGCCCATACACGACACACAAGTGCGATCGATCGGTATGTGTGCGAATGCGGTTTACTCGTGTATGGCTTTGTGCGCGTACCGATCCATTTTGCGAAAGTGTTTGATTTTTTACGATGAGTGTGCGCACATGTGTGTCGTGTGTGGCGCTGTGTGCGCACAAAATCTCATTTCTCTCGTGTCGCCGAACAGTGAAGATCGCGGACGAACAATGGCAAGTGTTATGGGCGGAGCCTGCTTTAGAGGCTTCAAAAAATCCATTTTTTTGAGGACTTTTTTGGGAGGGAAAGATAAATGATTCAAGTGAATTTTCTAAGCTTTATAGTTATATATTTGAACATCTTTCAMAATTTTTTTTAGATACGAAATCTTTGATATTCTGCCTTTGGAAAGCAATTGCCCGATGCATCTCGCATGTGCATTTTTCGGACGGCGGAAACAAAAAATTCTAAGAGATTCATATTTTTTAATAACTCATCTTCCAGTTAAGTTAAGAATTCTGAAAAAAATTTAAAAACAAATTTAAAAATTGAAAAAAAGTGGTTTTTGTCCAAAAGAAATTTTATTTAATGTTGTTTAAAAATATGTTCAAACTGACTTTTCTTAGTTTATTTATTATAGTTTAAATATAAGATATTTTAATGTCAAAGATAATAAACTTTGCCCCATATTCCATACTACGACAAAATCGTAAAAATGAAAAACCGAGAAATCACGAGTCAAAGTTTTCGCACAAGCGCTCATATATCTGTTAGATAATATTATTTCGAATTCCCATCTATAACTTTAGGAACATATTCTTAGATAATTTTTAAAGAGATTTAAGAAAAAAAAAATCGATTGTTTGAAGCTTCTAAAGCAGGCTACCCCATTAATAAAGATTTCGTATCAGAATTTATTGATCATATAAAAAATTAATTAGCAATTTGGCAAACGAAAAGTGATAAATATAAAAATAAAATTGGGAAAAATAAAAGTTGGAATAACTTATTAACGAAATAAAAGGAAATAGATAAAAGTGCTACATTAGAAATAAATTCTAAAAAATGTGCCTGTGGCACATGTTTAATGTGTGAAGATCGAACGCAAAATGGATTTGTTGTCGTGCATGAGCGAAACGAATTCACACAGATCGAACACACCTGTGTGTCGTATATGGGCCCTATAAGGGAAGTATTTTACCCACTTTCGCCATCACGATCCACCATTATTCGGCAAATATTCTTACTGGATTTCATTAACATTCCTTCTAGATAGACCGAAATATCTCACATATTTGAAGGTGATAGTCGATTTTTTTTTCTTTTATGACATAAAGACGCATCATTATCAGAAAAATACGCTCTCTGAAGTTTTCTAAGATATATACAACAAATATTCTAAGATATATACAAAAAATGGGTGAACTACTGAACCGGTTTTAGGGGGAATTTTAAATTGCGCTATGCGGACAGAGTAATGAAAAGCAGGATAGATTTTTAAGCGTCGACATCTAATATTTAAAGGTATGTTAAAAAAAGTTTTATAATCACATGGCAGCGCTCCATTTCGTCGTAATTTTTAGTAAACAAATGAGGTTCAAACGAGAGTAAAATGTAATTTTTAAAATAAAGATTTTTTTGGTAATAAACCTACTAAAAGTGTAAAATGTGGATTTATTTAAAAGTTTATAGTGTAAATTAATTAATTTAAAGTGAAAAATGCGAATAAAGTGTGTTTAAAGTGGTGAAATAGCCACTTGAAATGTCCGAATTTTGCGAATTTTTGAACTTTGAGGTCGAATATCTCCTAAACTAAGCGTTTGCGGTACCTATAACACACATATTTTTTGATCAGGAGAACGTCCTCTTTCCAACGGTACCTTCAAATCGCGGCGCCAAAGAAATCGGAATTGTGCCCAAATTATCAATGTAAAAGTTGTCAATTTTTCAACTTTAAATGCAAATATCTTTAAAACTATAAGTCAGCGGCAATTATATATATTTTCGTGATCTGGAGAACGTCACCTTTCCAGTGATACCCATTTTATCCCCGAAATCCGGGGAGGCTAGTCTAAATTTTAACTGCTATGCCAGTGTGACACTTTCAAAAAATTGTTTCTTTTTTTTGCTTTTTCTATAGTATACATTTTCCAAAATATCCTTGCCGCTTTCGCAGGACATTTTTGGAAATATAAGAATTTTTTTTTTTTTTGAAAGTGTCAGAAACAGCTTTAGCATTATCTCCAATTAATTTTATTAAAACACATACGTACAAATTGAGGGATGTATGGTATAAATCTACTAGAAGGTAGAAAATCACTGTATTAAGTATATAATAAGCAGAGGAAGGAGTGGACGGATTTCTCAAAGGAAGTCTGATAGAATTCAAACTGCTGTTGTCTAATTTAAAACTGCAATGTAATGACGGGAATGCTATTAAACAATTTAGTAAAATATGGTTCAATAGTTACTGATGTGAAATTCCACCAATAAGTAAGTGGTGCTACAAACATTGTTTAATTTTACTACCGATTTACAAGTATGCTGTGCTACCCTTATCAAAAAATTTAATGTGTCTTATTCGTTGGCAAGTTATTAAGTATTTCATTTAAGTTATGGCTTGATCAATCAATAAATTATTCTTATAATCTATATCAAGATGTTTAGAGAGTCTAAAAAAAGAATAAGTAAAAAGTTTGTGTTGAAATTGCAAATTACGCAATTTTCCAAAATG